AAAGACCTAAATTATTTTCCTTACCAGAATAACCAAAATTTAATAAACAAGCAAGTACGGGTCGAACGCTAACGGCAAATAAATTAAATGAATTTGAATACAAATCCGAAATAAATGCAAATCATCAGAAACCAGGTGAAACACTAGTAGCATAGCATTCTACTCATGTAAATGCAATAAGCTTATTTACGGCAGAATTTTTTCATGTGCTTTACAATTTTATAATACTGAAATTTTTAACTAAAGTCAGAAGTGAGTGGCCAAAATTATATTACAAAGCGCAAAATAAAAAAGGATTAATATTCAAGACTTTACCAGTTATAATTATAACTTATAAAACATTACCTTCAAAATTCATGCAATACTGTGAAATATAGCATCACGAATAACACAAAACAAAATAAAAAAATACCACTGATTTGCTTGATTTTCCCCGAAACTATGAACCACGAAGTGTACGAAAATATTTAATACACGCGTAAACTCTGTAATTTATTTCATAACTCACTGTAAAGTTGATAGCAAAATTCCTGAATTCGACTATTCCCTTTTCCAATTTGGTGTAAAAGCGCCTTGTCTCGATTCCTCCCATAAACTTATTAAAATATCAGCTAAAATGCCCTTACTATGAATTGAAAAAATTGAGGCAAAACCCTCCACTATAGTGGAGGAGGCTCATAGTCCAGCAGTGGACTGTAAAGGGCTGTTGATGATGATGATTGATGATGATGAATTGAAAACGCTCTCTTATAAGAAAAAACAACTGGGACGCGTAAAAGTGCTTTTTAAAAGCCTATTTGAAAAAATAAATGAGTTTTATGAGTTCCTATGAGTTTTCATACTCGTCGATGAATGTGTTAAAATTTCTAAGAACGTCACGTTTTGATAACTGCACTCTGAAACCCTCTTGGGTTAAGCTATACTGTTTAGTTTGGGTCTCACTGGCAAATATTTAAATAGGTTAATATCTAATGCATAGCTTACATTGTTATTGTCAAGAATATGTATCTCTTTTTGGAAAATAAACATTTATTTATTATTTATAATGTAGAGATAACATTTCGTGATATTTGTATTCGGTGAATTCGTTGACTTTTACTTACTGGATTGTACAATTTTTATGTGTACCTATTGTGTACTGTAATAAACTGATGGATAAGAAGAAAATACACATGTGACTGATTTTCTTGTTTACTGTAAGTATGTAATTTCATTCTCGTGCTGCAGGTACCTATTACTGGTATTCAATTTCATTCTTATGCTTAGGTAGGTTCACCTAGTCACTTCATTGTCGAACTTGGTTCGAGTTCCAACAGTAGCGGAGTAATATTATCAGGTATTTGCGGCGAAATGATGTTCGTTAGCACTCACTAGTTCAGGGCTACCTGGAAACATGCCGGTGACAGCTCTTTATGAGATTCTCGGTGCTTGTTCAGTGAGGAAATCCTGGAAATTTCTTGTAACATAAAATATCTATCCTCTAATTTGCACAAGAGAAGGAATTCTAATTCTTCGTCCCGGAATTTCAGTCGAGTATTAATTTCAGTTTTATCAGAAAACTGTTTGATTCTTTTCTATACAACTCGAAGATGTAGCGAAGTATTCTTTAAGAATAACTTTACTAATGGCCCCGTTAGCACCCTGTGGTAAGATAAATAAAATATGCATGTGTTACGAGTGTGGATTCTCCACAATAGTACAGCGGCGGCGGGGATCGAACTCGCGTTCCTCCGATCTCAATTTGGATTGAAATAACAATCGTGGAACATCAATTACATAGTTTTTGTTGTTAGATAGAGTTATTTTAAGTACTTGCTGAAAAATCCACGTATTTTCTTACGAAAAAAGTTATAATATGGTAGATTTCTAGGTAGATCTATCTTAAACAGATGTTAGTGAGTTACAAAAGTAAATTCGAAAGTGGCGCTCCAAACAGAGTTAGCTTTCGGGCAATCACCGCTCACCAGGGTGTCACTTTATAGTTGATAGCACGTCAAGCTAAACAATGTGGTATCTTATTTCGTTGTAATACAGGCTATTTTTCTACAAATTGTATAGTCTGACGTGCTGTCGTCATATGCGAGGGAATGCGTTCGCGTACGAGGGAGTGCGGTTCGCCAATCAACCGAAAATTAACAGGCTATCAGAGAGGATGGAAGTGGATGTTAGACTAATTTAAGCCTTAGGGAAAGGGTTGAAATTTTTTTTGTATTTTGACTTGATAAATATTTTAAAAAGAATTACAAAAGAAATGTCAACGCAACGGCTTTCGATCGCCGTAAACACGAAATTATAACTCTTTTTAAAATAAAATATTGAAGGAATCTTGCAATTTAGGAACCAAATCAAAATAAAGAAAGAACGACTATTGATTTTACACTAGGTACGTGTGGAAGTTAAACCAAAATCTTCAGAGAATAATCTAAGCCTAGCGCAGACCACCGACTTTTAGTTGGCCGATATTTGGGCTCGATTCTAATTAATTGTATACCGATACCAAATCGGTGTATAGCCTGACCAGGAACATAAAAACCCTGGCATAGAGGCGCTTCAATTGCATTTGATAGTGCAACACTGAGTACAGTCGTACATGTGTTATTAAATTAATAGGCTAAATTTATGTATCAGGATTCAGGATTACGGGCTAATTTGATATTTTCATAAATGAACGAAAAATATTATTAAAGGTAACCTGGTTTAAATAAATTAAATGAAACCATCAATCGAGCTAGTAGGATTTATTTTATTATTCATCAATAAACAAATTCAGAACTTGAATATTCAACTGCAATGTCTGCTCATGAACGCTTCAAACTCGGTACTTCTTTCCCAATTCCATAAAATTCAAATCTTAGAAAGTGACAAAAAACTTTAAAATAGGTAGTTGAAACAGACTACAGCTAATTTTCATAGTGGACTGTACTATACGATAAACATGTCAGTCAATTTGACAACCTTTGTCGGAAACATTATTCAATGAAAATATTGTCCGAACCCTTAGTATTTCTCTTCGACAAATACATTAACACATCGTGAACCACTTTTCTTTCACGACTATAAAAATATTTTAGCAATTTAATTCACAAAATCAATTGCACACATTTAAAATAAAGTTTGTTTACACTTTGACAACAATAGACTGACATGCAAGGTGACATGTCAATGAAGTTTTCAGTTACTGTTGCCATTAAAAGAAATTAGTACCATTAGTTTTCCGCAACATGGCGAGGGTTTTTATGTTCCTGGTCAGGCTATAATGTGCATACTTTTATACATCTCCTTACTGATTAACAGCCCGACCCAGCTATCGGCCAGCTAAAAATCGGTGGTCTGCGCTTAGGCTTAATCTCTTATCTACCTCTTGACCATGGGGACGTTAGAATCCATATCGTAATTTGTCCATTTGTCGGCTCCACGTATTGAACACGGGACTACCAAATCATAGTGTACAACTCTCTATTCAATATTCCATAGAGGCAAAAAACTGCGTGAACAAGTGCCGCTAACTTTGTTACACCCACAACCGCACTAAAATCTGTATTTGCGGTTTAAAACGTTTTCCGGGAGCCATAACAGTTTGAAACACCCTGTATAAATCAGGCTGAGTCGGCGAGTTTGTCTGGTAAGTGCGGACGACAAATAACTTAAAATCGAATACGTGACAGTATGGGAAAGTTCGGTATGAGTAGTGAGACCATGGACTGGGGTAGGATTAGTTGGAATAAGTGGAAAAGTGTAATCCTAGCTGATATATTTTTTTGCTATTTTGTAGTTAAATTAGTAGCAGTCCTTACTTAAAAAATATTGACTCACTTGACTTAAGCTTTACATATTATTCGTATGTAAGTGTTGGTTTATGACGTAGACTGTCTTCTATATTCATTATCATCCCGTCGCAACTGTTTATTAAAAATACTGTTATTTTTTCTCTTTCCACCATAGAAATCATAATTTCATACAGCAAAAAAATACAAGAGAGAATTTTAATATCCTAGACTAGACAGAAAATTGTAACGTAGGTATATTCACCACCTGAAAATCCCGCCCCTTGTCTTCAACATCAGCACTTCATGGTGACCCCAGCTACTCGTATGAAGGCTTCCTGTTTGCCGGTCGAGGATCGAGGTTTAATATCAACTGCGGATAACGCGCTGACCGCTCGCTTGCGATAAACACCGAATATTATACACTGTATATACGTTGTATAATATACACCGGTTATTTGTCGAAAGGCGCTGACCATTGCAATATGACGGTGGAAAAGTTTTATTCGCACTCAACTGTTTATGAGATTTGGAAAACACTGAAAATGTAATAAAAGTGTGTCTAGAAGTTTCGAAGAATTTACTCGTAAAACATTTGACGTCTTCACTCTATTCTATTTTGATTTAATAGCTTATTATGTGCCTNATTTCAATTCTATAAAATTAAATATTGTTTTTTCAGAGGTACGAGACGCTTTTAGGTTATGGCCATAGACTTTTCCTACCATAGATTACAAATTCATTTTTTAAATGTCACGGTCTGGCTTAAAGATGTTTGCCCGCAAGAAACTTGAAATAGTTAAAGAAAATTATATTTTTCTTTACATATTAATTAATTTACTGTAGATTTCAGTGTTGCTAACCCGTGCTCTTGCGGCAATAGCTCACTCGAGCAGTTGTACTTTTCTCGGTCGGTGGTAGCTCACTGTGTTGGTGGGTGGTACCTCACTCGTCCTGTAGTAGCTCACTCGTCCTGTGGTAGCTCAGTAGCTCACTCACCCTCTAGCAGCCTTGGCGTACCCGCTGAGCTTGAACTCAACAGTGTTGCGGCCAAGCGCGTGAGCTAGCAGCCAGCGCATGCGAGCTCACTCACTCGTCCTGCAGTAGCTCACTCACTCGTCCTGCAGTAGCTCACTCACTCGTCCTGCAGTAGCTCACTCACTCGTCCTGCAGTAGCTCACTCACTCGTCTTGCAGTAGCTCACTCACTCGTCCTGCAGTAGCTCACTCACTCGTCCTGCAGTAGCTCACTCACTCGTCTTGCAGTAGCTCAGTAGCTCACTCACCCCTTAGCAGCCTTGGCGTACCTGCTGAGCTTGAGCTCAACAGTGTTTCGTCCGAGCGCATGAGCTAGAAGGCTCTCTCGGTCGGTTGTCAGCGCGCGTCCTGTGGTAGCACACTCGTTCTGTTGTAGCTCACTCGTCCTATAGTAGCTCACTCGTCCTATAGTAGCTCACTCGTCCTGTAGTAACTCACTCGTCCTGTAGTAGCTCACTCGTCCTATAGTAGCTCACTCGTCCTGTAGTAACTCACTCGTCCTGTAGTAGCACACTCGTCCTGTTGTAGCTCACTCGTCCTGTAGTAGCTCACGCATCCTGTAGTAGCTCACTCGTCTGTGGTAGCTCACTTGTACTATAATAGCTCACTCACCCTCTAGAAGCCTTGGCGTACCCGCTGAGCTTGAGCTCAACAGTATTTCTTCCGAGCGCGTGAGCTAACAGCCAGCGCATTCGAGCTGTCCCGGTCGGTTGTTGGCGCGCGTCCTGTGGTAACTCACTCGTCCTGTTGTAGCTCACTCGTCCTGTAGCAACTCCTGTGGTAGCTCACTCGTCCTGTAGTAGCTCACTCGTCCTGTAGTAGCTCACTCGTCCTGCAGTAGCTCACTCACCCTCTAGCAGCCTTGGCGTACCCGCTGAGCTTGAGCTCAACAGTATTTCTTGCTAGAAGGCTCTCCCGGTCGGTTGTTAGCGCGTGTCCTGTGGTAGCACACTCGTTCTGTTGTAGCTCACTCGTCCTGTAGTAACTCACTTGTCCTGTAGTAGCACACTCGTCCTGTTGTAGCTCACTCGTCCTGTAGCAACACCTGTGGTAGCTCACTCGTCCTGTGGTAGCTCACTCGTCCTGCAGTAGCTCACTCACCCCCTAGCAGCCTTGGCGTACCCGCTGAGCTTGAGCTCAACAGTGTTTCTTCCGAGCGCGTGAGCTAACAGCCAGCGCATTCGAGCTGTCCCGGTCGGTTGTTGGCGCGCGTCGACGTGTATCCAAAGCGTACGGTCGCGGATGAGACGGCCGAGACGGGGACATGTACTGAAAGAGAGATTTAATTTAACTATGTACTATGTAATCCCAACTAATCCCAACTAATATTATAAATGCGAAAGTAACTCTGTGTCTGTCTGTTACGCTTTCCCGCTTAAACCTCGCAACCGATTTTGATGAAATTTGGCATAGAGATAGTTTGAGTCCCGGGAAAGAACATAGGATAGTTTTTATCCCGGTTTTTGAAACAGGGACGCGCGCGATAAAGTTTTTCTGTGACAGACAAAATTCCACGCGGGCGAAGCCGCGGGCGGAAAGCTAGTGGTTAAATAAAACTATGGGCCTCATAATAAGGCTTAAGGTCACCCAAAGGGTGATGAAGCGGGCTATGCTCGGAGTTTCGCTGCATGATCGAATCAGAAATGAGGAGATCCGCAGGAGAACCAAAGTGAACGCAGAATTGCTAAAATCAAGTGGATGTGGGCGGGGCACATAGCTCGCAGAGACGATGGCTATTGGGGCAATAAAGTTTTCGAATGGCGACCATGGGCTGGAAAACGTAGTGTGGGCAGGCCCCCAACTAGATGGACCGACGATCTGGTGAAGGTCGCGGGAGGTGCCTGGATGCGGGCAGCGCAAGACCGGTCATTGTGGAAATCCTTGGGGGAGGCCTTTGTCCAGCAGTGGACATCATGTGGCTGGAACGACGACTACGTAAAGCGTATAAACGGTACCCTATTACAAATTTATAAAACTTCGCTGCCAGTCTGTCGCCTGTTGTACCGATATTTAGTGTGTGCAACAAATATTTTAAATAAAATAAATAAATAAACAAACGGGATTTTTTGCTGTTTTTGCTCTAAATAAATAACAGCAACCGGTACTCTCTTTTTTATTATTATTATTACATATATCAAGTAGGTGATTTTGGTTTGCAATACATATTTGTAAGAACGAATACTTGAGTAACGAATTCGCGTGAGCATTTAGCAGTCAGAAATTTAGTAAGAAATAAAAAATCGCAATAGTTGCATTTTAGAATGCAATTCGTAACATGAAACATGTTTCTAGCAGTCGCTTGCTTATAAAATTAACTTATTGTGTTTTGTCTTTGCTCAGAGGTCATCTACCTATGACTCTTGAACCTTCAAACAAGTAAGTCCTCAAAGCAGTGGCCAAAAAGTCGCTGCGGACGAAGGCCCTAAGTCTTGTACTTACTATCCCAACGCCTTGAGATCCATCGGAGAACAGAACTTGAGTATGCCCAGCAAGACATCATCAGAGAGATCTAGCAGCTCTGGCGGCCTGTCCTCTTCCTGCTCCGCCTGCTTGCCCACTGTTGGGAATACAGAAGTGTCAATATAAAAAACATAAACATGCTGCCTGCTGTTGTCTTTCCTGAACACTTCTTCTTTCTTTTCATGTCGACAACAAACCTACACATTGTCAGCCCAAAACTCCGCCACAAGAGTGGCATTGTCAGTAGCACTCATCAAATCCTCCTGAGTGCAGTTACTTAGGCACTTAGGGCACGACATCAGGTGCTTCTAACACTATAATCGGGGCCATTTCAAGGCGAGAGTGAATAGGCACTTACAGGGCAGTTATGTACCATCCTAGACTGCATCTCACATAACACCAGGTGCGATTGCTGTCAAATACCTGCCTTGTTATGCATAAAGAACCATCATAGCTTGGTGGGTTTTCCAAATGCCTCTGTAATTCTAAATAGACAAAAGAAGTCATTTCCCACCTCAGGCAACAGATTTTTTTATGTTTCAAATTATCATCATCATCACAATCATCAGCCTTAGCAGTCAGAAGCACTAAGCCTGTCTTAGTCTTCTATTTCTTTCAAGTATTTTACAGAAGTGTTATAAAAATATATGCATATTATGTAGTTATTACTAAGATTTAGATACATAAATTATTGTAAACTAGCTTTCCGCCCGCGGCTTCGCCCGCGTGGAATTTTGTCTGTCACAGAAAAACTTTATCGCGCGCGTCCCTGTTTCAAAAACCGGGATAAAAACTATCCTATGTTCTTTCCCGGGACTCAAACTATCTCTATGCCAAATTTCATCAAAATCGGTTGCGAGGTTTAAGCGGGAAAGCGTAACAGACAGACAGACAGACAGACAGACAGACAGACAGAGTTACTTTCGCATTTATAATATTAGTTGGGATAGGCACAAGTATTTACATTTTTCATGTTTAGTCATCAAACAAAAGACAATGCCGGAAATTGGCGTCTTTTTTTTTCGCGCGGCCATCGTCCAAACCAATGTTGCAATTTCTTGCAAAAAGCAAATCTAGTATGTAAATCATCAAACTTCTAACGCTCGTAACTCAGTTCAGACTGAGTTTAGAGGTATACATGTCATAGTAAGTTTGGTTTATTACACTATGTTGTAATAAAAAATGAAAGTTTGGTCAATGGCCGCGCGAAAAAAAAAAGACGCCACCTTCCATACAAAATTTGGCATTGCCATTTAGCTTTCCACTGCTAAGAGTAAGCCAACCAAACCATGATGCAACACCTTTCTCTTAATTTTATTGTTCTTTAAGTTTTCAGTCCATTGAGCACAGTATGGGATTCATATTATGGTGCTTGAGAAGCTATATTTCTCCAAACTAGCCCTAGGTCATCAAAAATTAAAATTTTAAGATTTATGGTCGGCCGTTTGGTGTAGTGGCAGGCCTGGCTCACTCCGCGCGGTACATCCGATAATTACCTACAGCGAAGCGCCCCGCCGCAGTTTTGCAATATTTTGTTTAGGTGACGCAGTTTGACGCAGCTAATTTTGGTGTCATATGAAAGCCATAGATATGTTCTTTCGAAATATGTAAAAGAAACGGGTTGATCGCGCTTGATCATGAACTTTTTCACCGTTTCAAAAAAATAAACTGTTAAAATATAGACTTCTATTCAAACCTATATATCTATAACATAGTAAGTAATGTAGACTGTTTAGTAATACAGAAATAATAAACTAACCTGGAAGTATAGAATCCATATGTTTTTTACCAAATATTAACTAAATAAAAGTTAAACGTTGTTGTTAAACAAGAGCTAAAATTATAATAAATTACTCAACAAGAAAAACTGTTTAAATCAAATGTTGTGGGTATCTGGATAAAAAGTGTTAAACTTTTTAAATATCATTTATAGATGGCTCCATATGTCTTGTTCCTATATTAGGTTACTAATTTAGAATCGGAGTAACTTTGCTTTTTTTAATTTTGGCCACAAATAACGTACATTTCACCTGTGTGCGCCGGCGGGTATTATATCAGTCGAGTGTCACGCGCGCGCTCGTCAGGACGCTGGCGTGCGTTGTAGTATGATTATAATCTATGATCGAAGTATTATTTAAAAATGGACATAAAGAGAAAGAAATATTGTGCGGCGTTCGGGTGTTTAAATTCGAAAAGAAATCTACCGGATTTATCTTTTTTTTCATTTCCCAAAGATGCTGAAAGGTATGTTGGCCATGTAGGTAATCAATAATTCTTAGGATAGTATAGGAACCTAACCTACTATGACTACTGCTCAGAATGCGTTCATTCGTTTCAGCCAAATGACGTCCACTGCTGGACAAAGGCCTCTCCCAAGGTTTTCCATAATGAATGCATACTTACCTACTTACGTACCTCATTACAAATAAGTAGATTAATTATTTTTTCACTAGACAGCAACCCTAACAGCGTAAGAAGAGTTCAGAGGCACGCAATAGAAAGAGACAAAACTTGTAGGTGAATAAAATTGTAGGTACGTAGTGCTGTGCGAGCTGAATTCCACTGTATCGCGTCGTAACAAGACTCGCATTTATTTAAATCGTCTTGCGGAGTAATCCTTCTGTACCTGTACTATTTCTTATTCTGTGGTAGTGGTTCGAAACGGACTACTATTCCGGAGGTAGCGGGTTCGATTCCCGCACAGTACAAACATTCGCGTGCATGAACATATTTGTTTGTATTGGACCGGGTGTTTTCTATGTATAATAAGATGTATTTACAAAAAAAAAGTATTTAAGTATGTTTATATTCATTGTCTAGTACCCATAGTACAAGCTTCGCTTAGTTTGGGACTAGAAGCGCAGTGTAAAATGTCCAAGGATATTTATTTATTTAATTTATTTCTTTGTCTACTCTGTTTATGGCCAGGTCTGGAACCTCCAAAATGAATTTGAATATGGTTAAAATATTTGGTAGAGGAAAAACCTAAAGGTATTTTAAATAGCTTCATTAGTAAGTTACTCATATTGCTATCTGTAAGTGCTTTACCAAGAAGATGCAAAACATCAACATCATAAAATGTGCACAAACAACAAAATATAGATAAGATAAAAATAAAGTTGTTAATTTAAGCATAAATTGAACATGTGCATGTGCTTATGTACTTTGTGCTTAAAAATAACTTCTTTTGTCCATGTCGACGACTTGTGGTTTAATTGTGAAGGTACTTACTCACGAAATATAAATAACAGTAAATTGATTCTACCTACTTCTCAAAATGTTTTTTCTTTGTCTTTTAGTGTAGGAAAATATATTTTTGCACCGTGCTTATCTTTAAATTGTACATAAATGGCATTTAGACATAAAATAAACAAAATTACAGAAGGTAAAGCACTACCAATTAATGGTTTGTGTATAATCAAGTACAAAATTCATGCACATTGAAGATGTAAAAAAATATCATTTCATTGTTTTTGTACGAAGTTTTTGGTAATTACTGTGATACACATACCGTCCTGGACACCACTGTCGTCCAGTTCCTTGTTGTTTTCCCCTTCATTCTGAACAGTCTCCATTTTATGAAACAGACAAAAATCTATATCCAATGCACTTTGCACAAACTGGTTCGACGAGGCCCAGCGCCGAAATAACACTCGAAACAAAGAAACACGGGTGCTTTAGGGTTTATCGGGTCAACAGAAGTAAACAATTCACTTTTGGAACGATTCCAAAACGCGAATTTAGCGAAATTAATAAAATGCAAACACACACACAAACGAGCAGCCACTGCAGTTTTGACAGATTTTTGATCTGTCAGTGTCAAAAAGTGTCAACAAAAACTTTTTCTGAAAAAAGGGCACGGTGCGATTAGGGAAAGTCAACAAACAATATGCCTTTTACTAAAGTAACGTTATGCCGTTTTGCTATTAGCTGCAATTTACTTAGGAAGTTGGTTAGATGCTGAAAAATTTATTGATTTCAAAAAGGGTCAATCAATTTATTCAAGTAACCATCCGGATCCCTTCCTTTATTTAATGAAGTACAAGCCAGCCAGATTATTCAATTGCTTTAATCGATTATATTAGCCTCATATGAAGAATGGACAGCACTATTTTGACTTTGACATTTCTTTCACAGATTAGAGAGTATGTCTAAAGACAGATAGGAAACGGCCCTAGTATTTGTTGAACGATAAACAAACTGGTACCGAGCTAGATTGTCCAGTAGGTGGCGCTGTAAACAATATGGCGTCTGCCGCCCACAGATTAAATATATACCTCTCATACTTTTTTTATGATCCGTTCCGTTTCATGTAATGTGTTTAAAAATAAAACTATTGAAGTATCAAATAAAAGTTTATTGATGAAATATAACATGAAATATTTTGTTTACGAAAATCAGTAAGCAATAAAACTACTGGATTTTAAAAGATTACAGTTACTGTTGTGATAACAGTACATTGTTTTAGTTTTTACATTATGTACTCACGGATTGACATTTGTATGTAACTCATATAAAATATGTTGCGTTAAGACTTATAGTAAAATAGTTTAATGTTCTCCATAAATTCACACGTTCACTCTCACGTTGGTTCTGTCCACTCCACTGTAAGCAGGCCAGATCTACATGTTTCTCACCACCTGTAAAATATATGAAATATTTGTAAATTTAGAGCAAAAAGTCACCGTAAGTCTGTAATCTTCTACATCTACATTCTACACTAATATTATAAAGAGTACAGCATATAAACAAGTGATCGATCTATCTATCTACCATGCCTACTGTCTGTTTTGTTTCTAGATTCATACTACTTTGTTAAATGAAAATTAATTTACCTTGTCAAATGTGTACTTGTCAATCAATTACTTAATATATATTCACAGAATCTGGATTCCACCAATCTGTAATCAAATAATTAACTTTTAGGTCTTTCTATTTGATCCTAGATGAAAAGCGTCAGAAGATACGGGTAAGAATGATTTTGAGGGTCTTTTCAATTTTATAGGTACTTACCGAATGTTCTTATAAATAGAAGTTGTTTTAATTGTTATCTGGGTAATTCATCCAACACAAATCTTCCTAATTTAATGCATGGCATAACCTGCAAATGAAATGAGTTCATCATTTGTAATTAAGCATTTTTGGTCTTGTTTTATTGTTTAAATAGGTCTCTTTTAAACTTCATTGAATATGTTGGTTCATCTGGACCTTTTTAAGTAACAGTTGACAATAATGAGCAGCACCAGTGATTCCACAGCAAGCACTTTTATTGTAATTGCTGCTTAACACTTTATAAGTTCGAAGTTCGATATTAACCTGAAACAAATAGGTACTTAGATTCATTGTATAAAACACGTATCATTCACTGTATCCTGCAATCTATGCCTGCAATGTACCTACTTGTATTGTATTTTATGTCCAAAATCCAAAGTATGTTGTTACTCCATGAAACTATCCATATTTGGTTTCCATTGATTTAAATGGAGTTATGAATGATTTTGTAATGAAGATTTAATCCTTTGTGTGGTTCAATACTTAAAACATGATGTTGCTGCAAGTAATAACCTATCTCGAGTGAAATAACTTACTTATTAACTTACTTGAGAGAATTTTTTTCGTAAACAAACATCAATCCAACAGGCAATCCATGCACATGTAGTTCTTATTAATAATGACTGAGAAATTATTGATTTCAATTAGAAACAATTAAAAATCGTAGAAAAACACGTTTTTTCGATGAAAAATTTTTGACGTTTATTTTTTTTTAATAATGTCACAGTTGTAGACTCGAGACGGAACTAAAGTGATTAAAGTGAAAATTACGACTTTGAATTATTATACTTTTAAATAACCATTTAATTTATAGAAATCACATAGATTCAATAAAATAATTTATGAATAAAAGCTGAAGTTGTAATTCGAAAAGGTTTCTAAGGTTTCTAACATGCAAAAGACCACTGTCGCATACAGAAGACAACTATAAAAAAAGTCACTTCCTCTCGGAACTGTCAAAAAAATTCACTCTCTATGGAGCTGTCAAACTCTATGGCGTTTCCACCCCGTGATTTCTTTTTCAAAACGTGTGTTGCTACGACGCACGCACGTTCATAATATTTTGACTTTATTATCACAATGGCGAAGTCTTTGAGGAGTAGATGGAAGCGAAAATGCCGTGCTGTGAAGCGGGAGCGATATGCTGTGAAAGAATTGTCCAGGCTGAAGAAAATGCTCGGGATAAAGGAAGAAGATAAAGTCACAGAAAGTGAGGTTATGGAGTCCGATCAGGTGATATTTTTGGATGCTGGGGCAATAAACAAGTCGAAGAACAAGCCTAAACCTGTCGAAGAAGACGACGATGATGTGGAGATGAGTTCTGATGATGAGAAAATCGAAGTGGACGGCGAAAACGGCAAGAAACGTATTTTTAGTACTAAGACCCTGAAAGATCAAAACGGCCAGTATCCAGTGTGGCTTCACAAGAGAAAGATCGCGAAAATAAACAAAACGACCCAGAAAAAGATCAAGAAGAAGTCGAAGAAGCGTAGGCATAAGACTAAGTGATAATAAATGTGTAGTTATAATTATGTTTCATTTCATGTAACAATGTTGTGCAACATTAACGTTGATGTTGATTAGCGAACCCCTACAATACTCTTTTTGGTCTAATTAAATAACCAATTGTATGTTAAATTGATACCCTGATGCTGTATTAAAAAAAGTTAATAATAATAGCTTTTATTCACTTATACTTAACAATTAGATACCTAACATTATTCTATTTGACACAAAAAAAGTTGTAATAAAATAACAATCTATTCTTAATACCATGTTGATATAATTTTGTAGCATGGTTTTATCTCTATTTGAGGGTACATTCTCAAATGTGCATTTTAGGTATTTTTGAACTTTCAGTCAAAGAAAAAATAAACATTTGGCCAATCAAAAGTCAACAGTTGATAACTTGATACTTTATTATAATTACAAATAAGTGTATTTACAAGAATCCAATGTTGCAAGCATTGCAGGGTCGGGTAGAATCGAGTCTTTTCTGTCAACACCCAATATTTTATTAGTATGCCCTTCATAGGGTACTTAAAGCCCATAATGGCTTGCCTTGCCACTTGCCACAACACTGTTGGCTTCACACCATAATGCCGTACTTTCTCAATATAGATATATCCAGTACATTCTCATCCACATTCTGGTTCGGGTGGTGTATCAGATGTAACAGCATCCTCGCTTTAGTATTGGTCGAGAATTCGCACACTTCGCACTGAAACGCCTTCGGTTTCTCAATCTGCTTGTACTGTACTTGATGCTTGTCCTGCATATGCTTTCTGTAGACCAACTGAAAAACAGAAATAGTAGTAGAAAAAGATGGATGTTAGAATAGAATGTTTCATAATCATTTCAGCCACAGGACGTCCACTGCTGAACATAGGCCTCCCCAATGATTTCCACAATGGCTGGTTGAACGGCCTGCATCCAGCGCCTTCCTGCTAACTTTACGTAGCATATAAATTGGTATATAAAAAATAGTGCCATCCACGAAGACGCGCCCCACCATTCTTAGGCTAATGTTTGAGAGTGTTATCGGCAGAGTAAATACAAATGAGTAGGTCATCTTCATAGTAACGCACGGGCGCGGTTTGTATGTGAATTATCGGGGAGCCGAATTTTGTCAGTGTGTGCGTGCGCGCCGCATACGTATATTGGCGCGCTCACATACAAACCGCGCTCGGTGCGTTTCAATGAAGATGACCTACTCATTTGTATTTACTCTGTTATCGGTACAGGCTAATGCTCCATGAGTGCACACGCACACTACAGTAATGCCTTACGGCTTGCTCGGACCACACTCCCCGCACCCCGCGCGACCGGGACCAAACATGGGGCGCGGCCGAGTGGATGGCACGATTTATAAATAGTACATACCCTGGAACACAGCATTTGGTCGCACTGGTGACACTGCCTTTTATACCGCTTGTGGGACAACATTTGTTTGGTGGTCTGGAAACTGTAGAAAAAGAGATTTTATTTATTTGTCGGCCGTTTGGTGTAGTGGTTCTAAAACGGACTACTATACCGAGAGGGCCCGGGTTCGATTCCCGGCCGGGCAGAAATTGAAATGATGATCTGTGACTAATTGCTTACTTTAGGGCTAGATAGCGCTGTGTGAAATTGTCCAAAGACATTTATTTATTTTATATTTGCAAATTCGAACTTATTGCGATTACATTATTTAGCTTGATATCTGTGCCATGTTGGGAGACCGTATGAATGAGATACGGGTTGTAGTTAGACTCTGATATTAATCTGTTTATTAGTGTGAACTGCGTGACTATTTATACGATATAGAGTAAAGGTAAATGACGTCACAGCATCAGTACTATACGTGATAAATGTGCTGACACTGTGAACGTGATCAAGATAAGATATGAAGAGATTAAGTATTGTGCATACCGGCACAATATCTGTTACTCACAATTCACAGCAATTCTCGCACTTGATCATCGAACTGGGATCGAAATCTTTGTCTTCTTCTGCATCACTGTAATTGAAAACAGTTTGATTTAAGAAAACGGACACAGAAAGTTCAATAAACAATGTTTGGGGCGTTAGTAAGGAGGCGAGGATCACGAGTCGTCAGTCCGACATCTTTACCGATTCGACTGAAACGCTAAGTAGCTGACAAAGGTGACTGAGTTTCTTCGCCACATCTTTTCAGCACCAGCCCATATGTTGTCCCGAAGTGGTGGTAGGGCAAGCTATATTTGGGACGTGTATAAGCGCCCTGGAAAGAATCTATGTATGTACTTAGGCAGTTCGATCTTGTCAAGTTGTTTATGACCTAGTGAAGATCGCAGAAATCACCTGGATGCAGGTAACGCAGGGTCCGACGCTGTGGAAACTTTTGGAGGAGGCTTTGATCCAGCAGCTGACGTCATTAAGCTGCAATGATCCTTTACATATCAGGGTGCAACCTCCTGTGGCTTAAAAAAATCTTACCTGTTAAAGCCCGGTCCGTGAGCACGTAGAATTTTGTCCAATGACCCCTAGCTACCCATCCTTATCGCTCGCGCGTAATTATATTGCTGTCGCGACTGTGCGACTGGCACCTGCAGTGAGTGTGCGAGCGCGATAGCAACATAATTACGCGCGAGCGATAAGGATGGGTAGCTAGGGGTCATTGGACAAAATTCTACGTGCTCACGGACCAGACTATAGTATGTATATAACTCTCCGAGTCGGTCAGTCTGACACCTTTACCTTGCTGAAACGAATGAAGAATGTAAAAGTATGTTACCTGTTCGGGTGTACCCTCCTATGACACACCAGTGCCAGTGAGCGGGGATATGTCTTACATCCCGTGGGCTTAGGATGTTCCCAAGTGTAAACAACGCACTATAGCGTAGTTCTCGAGTGGGCAGGCTCTCACTCGGTGGACCGACGACCTAGTGAAGACGCAAAAAGCACCAGGATGCAGGTAACGCAAGATCAAGCGTTGTGGAAACTTTTGGGGGAGGCTTTTTTTAGAAGTGGACAAAAGCTTTTTTTTTCCCCCGTTAACCCCCCGTGGTAAGCTAAATATGCTTGTGTTACGAGTGGGTTCACCGCAGCGGAGGCGAGGATCACGAGTCGTCAGTCCGACACCTTTATCAATACTGCTGAAACACTAAAGTAATTTTACCTGTTCGGGTGCACCCTCCTATGGCACACCAGAGCCCTCTGGTGGCGCGCTATGAACGGGCAGCGCGGGCACTTCAGAGGGTTGTCGGGCCGGTGGATGAGCTCGTGCTTCTTGGTGTTCTTCTTGGAAGCCGAGCAGTAGTCGCAGTAGGAACACTTGAAGGGTTTTATGCCTGGAATGGTGAATTTATGCTGGAATATAAAAGCAAGTCTGCACCTCCAATACATCTGTAATCGCTATCCATCTGGTTAAAGAGGACACGTAAGACCAAATAATTAAAAAAAAAAAACAAAATCAAAATTATCTTTATTTGTATAGACTAATTAAATTAGTACTAGCAAATCGTTAAATGCTCTTAAGAAGCCTATACATGTCTCATTCTTTTTTGCCCTACCAATTGGCTTTATAACCACAAAAATTGGTCTAATTGCTCCCAGAGGTGAGCCCCAAGTGAGGCATTTTTTTCAAGTCAGATTTGTGTTTATAAAAAAATTAAATTGTTTTTTGTTCTGGGTCTTGTTTGATTGTGTTTCTTGTTGGAATCGCAGATTCGCTAATTTATTTGTTATCTTCGCAATTCGAATTCGAATATCAGGCGCAAACGAGAATATTCCGCGTGTGAAATACTTGAAAAATCATCCAACAACACAGTGACATAAAAATCACTTGAAAACTACCCACTAAACCCCAAACAAAATAAAGAGCGGTGAACGATTTCCGGCCGACTGTCACAGGGTCAGTGTTGCCACAGCAAAACTATTGCCAGGAACAAAATAAATCTACCAAATAGTAGAAATGGACTTGAAAGTGATACTAGCAAAAATGGAAGAAATGAAAACAGACTTCAAAATGCAAAATGAAAAGTTAGCTGAAAGTTTCAACAGAANGGGTGTGGCCTTCTCCCACATTATATTATAGGTACGTTACATCATAAATAAATATATACTATAAATATTAATATATACATTCTTTCAGTCACACATATTTAAACACTTACTTTAATATGTAATATATGTAAACACAATATAAATACGTATATAAATATCGTTCACACACTTCTACTTTCATACATCACTTTGCGAACCATACCATCTTAAATAATATAAATTCCCGTGCCGTTATTTGCCGTGCATCAGCTGGCCGCCCGCCGCTTGTGTAGTGGAAACGAGTCAACGAACACGCGTATAAGTATAGCTATCGCACCCGAACGGCGCGAGCGCCGGCCGCGGACGCGTATCGTCAGTCAGAATCACTGCCCAGCGCAACACGCACGTCGCCGTGCGCCCGGCTTTGCTTCTCGCTACCCGCTCGCGTAAATTGTTCGTGACGCGAACTTGAAAGCTTCCTATTTGTATCTTCCTAACTTTCTTCGCTGTGAACTGTCGCTTCTCCTTCTCTCTGTGCTATACAAATAAGTGTTGGGACTAATTGTTACCGTTGTGTGTAGTGTAGCAAATAAATGTATGGACTGGAACTGCGGTATTATTCTTCGCACCTACAGCTAAGTACCACTATACACAAACACGACAACAACATATTCTTCCCCAAACGGGGAAACTTCTGGGGACCCATGGTCCAACATCTATTTTATTTTATTAATATTATCTAATATTAAAAACATAATATAAGAATTAATCTGCAAAGATTCCAAACATTGACCTTTCTTGGCCTAAAAGTATTTACTAAGGATCTTCAAAATTTTTAGTTTCTCAGAATGAAATTCAGTTTTGTACACCGCATAGGTGGCGTGCAGTTTCCCCCCACTTAACACAAATAAAAATAATTGTGGCAATGATCCGAAATACACAATGATGTGTCCTATCTAATGATCTATCTTATCTAGATAATAGCATGGTAGATACCGAATCTTGAAGAGTCCATTCAATATTAGTATGGACTCGACATTACCAAATTCACCATTTTATTATTTTTACATTTGGAGAACGTGGCATCGTTAATTTTACTAAATTCGTTATCGTTATATACCCTAAATTAGATAGGTACCCTGATGCATACGCAATTAAAATTTTAAGACAACAAGGTCAAACTTATTTCTGCGGTTTCCTTCCTTTTTTGTATNAAATAAAAACCAACAAAATGAAAACAATGAAACCTTAAGCAAGAGTAGTAAGTCGAGCAGAGAACAAGGATTAAAAATATGCACATTCAATGTTAGATCCCTATCTACAAACGAAAGAATCCTTGAACTAAACAATGCAATAGATAAAGTGACATGGGATATCATGGGACTCGCAGAAGTTAAAAAAATGGGATGCATCATAGAAGAACATAAAGACTATATATTTTGTTATATGGGAGAGACACGGGGACTTCATGGCGTGGGTTTCCTAATAAAAAAATCACTAAAAGAACATATAGAAAGCTTTTTGGGCATATCAGAGAGAGTAGCTTTACTAAAAATGAACTTTAANCAACAGAAGCCTCTCAAAAACTATAGATGAAAAACTAAAACCACTTTTAGACGAGAATATAAAATTAAAAGAAGAAGTTCAAAACCTACAATCACGAGTACAAACCTTGGAAAGAGAAACTAGGAAAAACAACATTATATTACACGGCGTTCCTGAAAATGAAGCAAACAATAGTGATCTCAGGAATATAGTAATAGAGATATTAAATAAAATTTCCCAAAAAGTCGAAGGAATGCAAGACTGGGACAAGTGGGAAATCAGCAATGTGAGAAGACTTGGGAAGAAAAATACCGAGAAAAAGAGACCAATACTCATAACTCTTACACTGACATGGCGAAAGTACGAAGTCTTGAAAAACAATAAAAACTTTCCATCGGACATATATGCCACTGAAGACTACCCAAGAGATATCCTTATAAAAAGGAAAGAACTAAAGGAGAAAAAAGAGCAAGAAGAAAGGCAAGGGAAGATAGCGTTTATAAGATACGACAAACTCATAGTCAAGGATAGAGATGTAGATGAAACTAAAAGAAAAAGATCACCATCTAAGTCACCAAAAGAAAATCATAAAGACACTAAAAATATAACAGCTGCCCCTCCAAAAAAACTTAACAAGAGCTTCGATACATTTCGAGCTAGACCGAACTCCGCCTCAAACGAAACCAGGAACTAATACAACCAATGCAACTCATCACACCGGAAACGAAAATTTAACTACAGTAAACAACAACAACATCTTACACAACAAAAACTCTCTCCCAATACGGCTGGTCACCGTGGGGGAAGTAGACCACCACCCTCCATCAAATAAAAACCAACAAAATGAAAACAATGAAACCTTAAGCAAGAGTAGTAAGTCGAGCAGAGAACAAGGATTAAAAATATGCACATTCAATGTTAGATCTCTATCTACAAACGAAAGAATCCTTGAACTAAACAATGCAATAGATAAAGTGACATGGGATATCATGGGACTCGCAGAAGTTAAAAAAATGGGATGCATCATAGAAGAACATAAAGACTATATATTTTGTTATATGGGAGAGACACGGGGACTTCATGGCGTGGGTTTCCTAATAAAAAAATCACTAAAAGAACATATAGAAAGCTTTTTGGGCATATCAGAGAGAGTAGCTTTACTAAAAATGAACTTTAAGGAAGGACCATTATCGCTGATCCAAGTGTATGCTCCTACTGAGAGTTCAAGCGAAGAAGACATCACAAAATTCTACAATGACTTAACAAATGCGCAAGAACTGGCTGACAAAAATAGATTACTCATGGGAGACTTCAACGCTAAAATTGGACAACCAAATCCCCAAGAAAATTTAATAATGGGCAAATATGGTTATGGCGTACGGAACTCCAGAGGTGAACGCCTAATACAATATGCATATGAAAACAAACTGTCAATCATGAACACATATTTCAAGAAAAAGGCTTCTAGAAAATGGACATGGTTATCACCTGATCATAAGACCAAAAACGAAATAGACTTCATACTGAGCCCTACACCAAAAACTATAACAAACATAGAGGTTCTAAACCAAATAAATTTCCCGTCTGACCACAGGATTGTCAGATGTTCCATAAAAATTAAGAAACCTAAAACTGGCCGAGGAAAATTCAAAATGTTAGCCAATAAACTGAAGTCTACTGACGAGATAAACAACTACATACAAAACCTACAAAAGAACATATCATCAACTATGCAACTCCTAAAGGGACATAAAAGTGTTCAAGCTTTTAGTGACAAACTGGAAGAAGTATTAACAGAAAGCCTTAAAATCGATGTAAAAACAACCAATAGATGCACCAAAAAGATCATCAGCCAACACACACAAGACCTAATCTGTAGAAGAACTGAACTGATATCTATGAAAGACAAATCCAAAGAAAAGAGAGAGGAACTAAAGGAATTGTTCAAACAAACCAATAAATCAATCAGAAGAGATTATGATAACCACAGAAGAGAAATAATAGTAAAAAACATGTCATTGTTCCGGAGTTCGAAAAGAGCGTACAAAGAACTAATTACGCACAAAAATTGGGTACAGAGTCTAAGCAGTGGGAAGGGCGAAATCAGAGACAGAGAAGGTATAATAGAATGTGCAACAGCTTTCTATTCCTCGCTATATCAAAAACCACCACCAGAAATGACAGAAGAGGATGAAAATAGCGATATAACGGAAGAGGATACAGGAGAAACAAAAATAAACCCAATAACGGAAAGTGAAGTATGGACTCACATTACAAAATTAAAACCTGAGAAGAGCCCAGGAGAAGACAACATTACAAATGAAGCCCTGAAAATCGGTGCGCGAATTCTAGTCCCATATCTAACTGAGATGTTTAACTTAGTACTGGAAGAAGAACAAGTACCATCGCAATGGACTAAGTCAAACATAATTCTACTGTATAAAAAAGGAAGTCCACTCGACATCGGCAACTATAGACCTATCAGCCTACTATCTGCAATATATAAACTCTTTTCATCAATACTTCTCAGCAGAATAGCATCAAAAATTGACAACAATCAACCAATAGAACAAGCGGGCTTTAGACCACATTACTCAACAATTGATCACATCCATACAATAGAACAAGTAATGGAGAAATTTAAAGAATTTAATAAACCACTTTATTTGGCATTTGTGGATTATTCCAAAGCATTCGACAGTATAGTGCACTCATCCATATGGACTGCTCTAAGGAACAACGATATAAATAAAACATACATAAATATCATCAAAAACATCTATTCCAAAAGCGTAAGCAGAGTAAAACTGGAAAGACAAGGAGAAGAGTTCATAATTGGAAGAGGAGTGCGGCAGGGAGACCCGCTCTCTCCTAAACTGTTCATAGCTGTGCTGGAGGACATTTTCAAGAATATTGATTGGAAAAATAGAGGCATATGGATAGATAATAATAAATTGACACACCTAAGGTTTGCAGATGACATAGTTCTATTCAGTGAATCAGCTACAGACTTAGAGAAAATGTTGCAAAGTGTGAACTATGAAAGTATAAAAATCGGCTTACACATGAACGCTTCTAAAACTAAAATCATGTCAAACAGTCCTAGGAAAACAATAAAAATAGAGGAAAAACCTATAGAATATGTAGATGACTATGTATACCTAGGCAAATTGGTGTCATTCGATACAAACAGCAACGAAAACGAACTAGACAGACGAATAGGTATAACATGGAAGAAATACTGGGCACAAAAAGAAATCTTAAAAGGGAATTATAACTTAAGTATAAAAAAGACAATAATGGATTCCTGCATTCTCCCAAGCCTAACTTATGCTAGCCAGACATGGGTCTTTACGGAAAGAGTAAAAAACAAAATCTTCTCTTGTCAACACGCAATGGAGAGAAGTATCTTAAAACTAAGAAGAATACAAAAGACTAGAAACACAGACATCCGTATGAAAACTAAATTATCAGATGCTCTTAAATTTAGCCTAAAACAGAAGTGGAACTGGGCAGGTCATTTGGCAAGATATAAAGATAAGAGGTGGACCTATCAAACAACAAAATGGCAAGGCCCAAAAGGCAAAAGAAACGTAGGACGGCCGAAGAAAAGATGGGCCGATGACATAACAAACAAGGCAGGGAAAAATTGGATGCACATAGCCAGCGACAGGGAAAGGTGGAAAAAGATGGAGGAGGCTTTTACCCAAGTGGGGCCACAAGCAAGAGATACAGATTAATTTAATCAAACTGTAAAAATGTGGAATATAAAGCTATAATAATAATAATAAAAAAAATTAAATGTGTTTTTCTTTAAGTTTATTTATTGGGCTTTCAAATAATACCAATATTGTTGGGGCACCATCACATGATTGGGTGTCGCGGCAGGTGCGATTTATTTGACGCAGAATGTATAATTTTAACTTACCTCTGTGTATCCGTATGTGTTCTTCAAACAGCACTTTGTTATACGTTGAATAATCACACATATAGCATTGGAACGGGTTGAGCCCTCGGTGCATCTTCCTGACATGGCGTAAAAGTAACTCCGCAGTGGTCGTTGAGTAGTGGCACTCGGCGCAGAGCAGACGTTCGTTCTTGCTGGGTCTTGTTAGAGCCATTAGTTCGTCCAGGAGATCACTGTTGGGAAACAAGATATAAATTATAAATAACTTGAAAAAATCGAACTGCCTAAGGCGGGAATTGAACCCACGATCTTCCGCTTGACAACTGAGCTACTTAGACACTGCATAAACTTGTCGAAATTTCCAAGTGTAGTATGCTGTTACGGCCAGCGTATCAGGATATAAATCTTTATAACTTAAACATAAAAAAGATGATAATGGATTCCTGCATTCTCCTGTTAGCCAGACATGGGTCTTTACAGTAAGAGTAAAATACAAAATTTCTTGTCAACATGAATGACAGAGAAGTCTTGAAACCGGTCAAGTGAGAGTCGGCTTTGCCAAAACAACAATAGATGCCACCTATATTGAGAAGAGACTTTAAACTTGGCATCAATAGATGCCTCCCATATAGGGTTGCCAGGTGTCCAGCTTTAGCCGGACATGTTTGGCTTTTTAGGGACTTGTCCGGCCAAATATTGTCTAGCCCGGCCTGCCTGGCTTTTTATTTGGTTGCCGCGCCAGGCGAAAGTCGAGCCACAGAATAATATGAAGAACACGCATCAGGATGTTGGGCAACCAATGATGATAGTACTCACTAGTGAGAGCTATGACATTAATTGGGTAAAATTTCCGGCCGAATGAAGTGTTTTTGGCAACCCTACTCCTCCTCTAAAATGATGGAGTAGGCTTTTACCCAAGTGGGGCCACAATCAAGAAAAATACTTAATTAATTTTAAATAAAACTGTAATAACTGTGGATTCTTAAAGCTATAATAATAATAATAAACCCTACTCCGATAGGGAAAAGGTTAAAGTTAAGGGTGCAACTCAGCCTTACTCTTTAACTTCCTGCGTCTCATCTCCAGCTTCCTGCTTAACCACTACCTCTTCGGGTTCCTTCTGGCGCGGGCAGCGTGACGTCACCGTGAACTGGCTGTCAGTTTGAAGTGTCGGAGCCGCAGTCGGCACCAATGGGACCTCTATGAAGAGCGGCTCCGAGTTTAGGCTTGGATCTGCCATTTTTGTGGACTGGAATGAAAATGAAACAAGTGAGTATGTAATTCGATAGGTTATTGTGCGCTAGAGCTAGTTTGGCTAAGGTTTGTAACAGAAGCAAGCAGGTAAGCCCTTCATTTTGTTTATAATATTGTTCGTAAGTTGAAAACAAAGGTACCTTTAGAGCTGTTGATAAACTTGGTAAATACTTGATGCGTAGTGGTATGTAAAGAAAATTTCACGTTATGATTCAGAATCTTCGATCATAAAATTCAGGTAATTACATTTTTGTTTTAGCTGTAATTCATGAAATTAGTAAACCCTTCTTCTTCTTTTATTTCTTCTTCTTCTTCTTTTATTTTGGCGACGAATTAGTAAACCCACAGAAAGAAAACCAAACTGACACTGACATAACAGCTGATTTTTTTTTCATTTTTTTTCAATAGTGATGCTCATATTTACGATTACTATTGAATAAAAGAATTTAATCGTAAAGCGCGCTCTACACTCGCGGCGCGAAAGGCCGCGAAAGCCGCGAAACGCGTGTGTAGATGGTTTCGCGGACTTTCGCGCGTTCACGTTCACGCTTCGCGCCGTTCCCCGTTCGCTGTCGGTTTTTTGTCCCGCGACAAAGGTTCGCGCTTGGTTCACGGCGCGCGATCGCGAACGCAACTACACTCGCAGTTTTTCGCAGTAGCTGAGAAGACGCCGTCGCAAGTGGTTGTGCATTATTGCGTACTTACTAACGTTCTATTTTTTTAAATGATTACTACATGGAATAATGAACTTGAGTTGAAATTTATCGAGTGTTTTCAATCCGAACCAATACTTTGGCAGTCCAAACACAAGTACCATAAAAATAAAAATAAGACCCACTATGCCTGGACGCGGATAAGTGACATTTTGAATATTCCTGTGGGTGAATTGAAAAAAAAGGACTCACTTATTTATGTCCAATTATAGAACCTATAGAAAGTTAAGGATTCCACTCATAGTGGGGCAAGCTCAAATGAAATAATAAACCCATTAAACATTTTTTATTTGTGTCTTATTTTTAATACATAGGTAATTGAAATACGATATAGCACAGAGCATCACCGCAGCAGCGACAATCACGTCGTCATCCCTTGAGGCCGCGAACGAGACTGCGAGGCTTCGCGAGTGTGGAGAGACACATATAAACGCGAAGTGCACGGCGCGAATCGCGGCGTGAATTCACAGCAAGAATCGCGCGCGAGTGTAGAGCGCGCTTAANGCTTTGTGACGTCAGCTATCACGAACTTCCAGGTGAAACTGCGACGAAGTCCAAGGTCTAGTTGAAGTTGTGTGTACCCGTAGGTATTAATAACTGTGTTATTTGCTGCATACAACTCGTATTTGGTTTTTGTGTGATGGCCTTTCGTAGCTGATCTCGGAAACACACATAAATCTGAGCCTGTGTCTACTAAAAATCTTATTTTAGTTTTTCTATCACACACGAAGAGGCGGCCATTGCAAGAGAGGCAGTCATTCGCCGCGATTAGTGGCTGCCTTGACCGTTTTCCGGCTTGAATGTGCAGGGTTTCGTACAACGCCTTGCCTTAGAGCCGAAAGTGTGGTGATACCAGCACACGTCGTGAGGTCTTGATCTGGAGCGTGAACGAGATCTGGAGTCGCGTCCTCTAAACTGTGGTCGACTTTGTCTCAGCGTTAGTGCTTCTACTTGTTTAGATAACTGTTCAACTTGCCTTGCTAGTCCTTCCATCACCATTAAATGATAGGGTTGCGTTCCAGGTGTTGCAGACGTTGAGGGTGTAACTTCGGCGACCTGTGAGCTGGGTGATGCGATCGCTTGAATTTTATCTGCCAATTCAGCTAATTTATCTAAGGCCATGTCGGATTGCGAAGCTATTATTGGTTGTACACTTGTAGGTAGTCTACTAGACCAAATAGTCTTGATAAATTCCTCTGGGACGTTTGGGCCTGCTAAGTGCATCAAATGTCTCAAAAATTGAGATGGTTTTCTATTCCCTAATTCTTCATCGTTTAATAGTTGTTTCACTTTTTGTTCCTTAGAAGACGAAATTCTATTAATTAATTCTCGTTTTAGTGTGCTGTATTTATTTTCTCTAGGTGGATTTTGTATAATATCTTCTACTTCAATTGCATATTGGTGTTCTAAATTTCCGCATACGTAATAGAATTTCGTAATATCTGAAGTAATTCCGGCAATAACGAATTGTCCTTCAATTTGTGCGAACCACAAAGCTGGGCGATCAGGCCAAAATGGAGGTATTTTCACACCAACTTTAAAAACGTCTCCTCTGCTCTCTGAGCTCGCGCCAACATTGTGGGTGGCCGTTGGGCCCGTTGGCGTTTCAAAACTCGCAGCGTTAAGCAAAATATTTGTAGGTGTTTTCGGTTCGGCGTTATCGGTACCTGGTTTTGACATGATGAGCGATGATCCCAGGTCACTATTCTCGTGGATGAAGGTGCTTCAGTTCAATATCGAGGGTCACCAGTGTAGATGTTGTTGAGGTTTAGTAGAAACAACACCCACTTAAATTTGTTAACTCCGTTTATTGCGGAAGAACACAGTCGTACATTCACAGTAGGAAGAAGATAGCACAATATACAGTAGAAAGAAACGTACAAAAGATTATCAAGATGAAGAAATGCGATAGAACTAGCGAAAGCCGGCAAGTAGTATTCAAATAACAAATTGGAAGCGCATAGCAAGACGCGTACGAGCGGACTGGCTCTGCGTCGGGCGGCGGCCGAGCTTCGAACAATAGTCCATACAGAAAAAACGTTTGCCTACTACGCGGCGCGTGCGACGGGCTGAGCGTGTTCTATAAATAGCATCAACTTAACCGACCGACGCAAAGGAGGTAATGTTTTTTAAACAATGTAAGTATTTGATTTATAATATTTTTTATGTTTAGAATAAGTTATACAATGCAAATATGTATCTAAATATATGAATATTTATGTAAGTATATTATAGATATATATTGAGCGATTTAANTTTCATATGTACACTTTAACGTGACTCACACTGTATTATTCAACATTAACATTTATGTGGATACATACATATACAGAGGTTAAATTACTGAGCTATTTAGACATTCGTTCCGTGTTTAAATTTGAACCCTAACACTTTTGAGTTAGGATAAGTTTATATTTAACTAGCTTTCCGCCCGCGGCTTCGCCCGCGTGGAATTTTGTCTGTCACAGAAAAACTTTATCACGCGCGTCCCTGTTTCAAAAGCCGGGATAAAAACTATCCTATGTCCTTTCCCGGGACTCAAACTATCTCTATGCCAAACAACAAAATCGGTTCAGTGGTTTAGGCGTGAAAGAGAGATAGACAGACAGAGTTACTTTCGCATTTATAATCTATATTATAAAAGAAAGTCGTGTTAGTTACTCCACTTATAACTCAAGAACGGCTGAACCGATTTAGCTCAAAATTGTCAGGGAGGTAGTTTAGAGCCAGGAGAAGGACATAGGATACTTTTTTATTTTTTATTTTTATTTTTACTTTTCTATGTATAATAAGTATTTATTTACAAAAAAAAAAAGTATTTACGTATGTTTATATCCGTTGTCTAGTACCCATAGTACAAGCTTTGCTTAGTTTGGGACTAGAAGCGCAGTGTAAAATGTCCAAGGATATTTATTATTATTTATTATTTATTTTTATCCCATTATTTATTGCCATTAAGGCGGAACAAAGTTCGCCGGGTCAGCTAGTATTAGTATAGATGTCGCGTCAAACAGCCCGCTCATTCAATTTCCACCTGAACGCAGTCGAAGCCTAGTATTCTATAAACAACTTCATTAATATTAACAGACTCCCAAATATTCAATATCTGTTCGGAAAACTCCCGTAATATAAATTTAGATGCAACAACGGAGCTGGTTCTTGTTTATTAATAGTCCCTGGGGCAATATTGAATGAACCAAACTCTAATACAGGGTGGCCATGGTAATAATAATGTAAAAATAGCATAAAAGGGCTTCGTTTGTATTTACTTATTTATTTATTACAAACGAATTTTCTCGTTGAATGAAAAAATAATTTGTTAGTCTAGTATTTAGTAGGTACTTATACAGGGTGTTACTTTGCATTCTTGCCATATTTACAGAGGTTACTATATTACTGATACTGAACACAAATCCGTAAAAAAATAATGACCGAAAAATTTTTTTTTTAATCTTGAGTATTTTATTTTATCGACAATCTGTTAAACACACCACTAACTATCGTAACGCATGCACATCACTTGTTGGCGATGGCGATGGAGACTTTTTACTTTTTATTGTATTTTTAAATATCTATTGCAATCCATTGTCTTTAAAATGTCTTTTTGACACTTGTAAAAAACTGAGAAATCCATCAAACACAAATCACGTTATAAATAATACAAAAATGGCTGAAGTGTATTCAAACAACGAATATTTTAATCAAAATGGTGCTTGGAGTGTCTGCAAGACGTCTTAGACGAAATGCTTGATGACGAACCCTTAGCGTTATGTAGATGTTGTTGAGGTTTAGTAGAAACAACACCCACTTAAATTTGTTAACTCCGTTTATTGCGGAAGAACACAGTCGTACATTCACAGTAGGAAGAAGATAGCACAATATACAGTAGAAAGAAACGTACAAAATATTATCAAGATGAAGAAATGCGATAGAACTAGCGAAAGCCGGCAAGTAGTATTCAAATAACAAATTGGAAGCGCATAGCAAGACGCGTACGAGCGGACTGGCTCTGCGTCGGGCGGCGGCCGAGCTTCGAACAATAGTCCATACAGAAAAAACGTTTGCCTACTACGCGGCGCGTGCGACGGGCTGAGCGTGTTCTATAAATAGCATCAACTTAACCGACCGACGCAAAGGAGGTAATGTTTTTTAAACAATGTAAGTATTTGATTTATAATATTTTTTATGTTTAGAATAAGTTATACAATGCAAATATGTATCTAAATATATGAATATTTATGTAAGTATATTATAGATATATATTGAGCGATTTAATTATTTTATAGAATCTAAGTTAGCTAAAATATATTACTTTTTACGTTTGTATGACTTTTTATATCTTATTATGTATTACTAATGTTTTATTTTATGTTTCAGATGCAGCCGCCACAATACTCCCCCACCGAGACCGTTTCACGGGCGATAGTAGTCAGGAAATCGAACGACTCTTCCACTTCGAGTCTTTCTTTCAGGTGGTGGGTCATCAGAAACTGGTACGGCTGGGTGTGTTACATTTGTGCTTGTCGAGCTGCTGGGAGTACTGGGACTGCGTACGCCATAAGCAGGTTTCACTCTGTCGATGGTTACAGTGGTATCTTTGCCGTTTACTTCTAATCTCAAGGTTTTGCCATTTCTAGATTGCTCCAGGAC